CCGATGTAAACAAGGATGTATCGGGCCACGAGGGTGCAAGACGCTGACTTGGATATCATGTAAATATATATGGAGCTCAAAATTATATAACCAATTATAAGAATGTGTCGTACCGATGCGGGATAAACTAACATTCAAGTTGACCTCTCTCCGGTTATGGGCTTAATGTAAATTGATTTGGCTTAAATGCTTAAGCACTAGATTATATGTTTACAACGATAAATTTCTTGATCACAGTCGACCGATTAGTTACCGTGAAACGTTTTTTTTTTAATAACTTTGCAAAGTAATAGATAAAAGAGTAAAATGGTCCCTATGGTTTAGAGTAATTTATGTATTTGGTCCCTAAATTATTTTTTTAACTCGGACCATCCGTATAGTTTGATTTTGTTACATGTTTGGTCCCTATTCGAATTAAAATGACTAATATGCCCTTACTGATTATTTTAATTATTTTAATATTTTTAACTCGTTAAAAGAGATCATAAAATATTAGCCTCCTTCGCCTGAGTTTTATCCTTCCCATCAGATTCACCCTTTCCCCTGTCCATCCCTTTATCTTTCTCTCACATCCCAACTGAAATTAAAGAAACCTACACCACCTAAAGCTTCCAGTATCCTCCAGACCTTCACTACCACCACTGTTAGATCTGTTACTAGTAATCAGAGTAAACCCCCGCACATTTATTCTACCTTGATCCTGCATCTTGCTCCTTCATTACCATCTCGTTACAGTCAGTGAGCATATGAAACCTACAGTCTACCCGTCTACCGCCACGGACGCCTCCACTGAAGCCGTCAAATGAATGGTAGAACCTACTCCATTTCTAGCCCCTTCACTATGGATTTCTTCCTCTTCATTTGATATGGGTTTTTTCAACTGTACACTAACCGGAAATCTCTACACCACCACCGTCTGCTTTCATTTGAAGAACCTTAAACCATACCTAAACCACCGACGTCGTCTGCTTTCTCTCCACCAGAAAGTCCATCATTAAAATCCTTTGAACAAACCTCATCGGCATGTGAAATCCTCGAAGCCATCTCAACAGTAAGGGTCTTCAACCAATTTGCCTGAGAATCAAAGCCATAGTCTTTGACGATACAATCTCTGCCATCAGAGTCTTCAAAAAGCTATGATTTCTATACAAGGTCTCCTAAAAGCTCCAGTGATGGGTTGTGATTTATGGTTTAAATAGATAGGCTTGGCCAGCATATGTCTCCCGTGGAGTATCGTATTATCCTTAAATATCGACTCATGATTCCCATATTCCCAGCTGACGAGATATGTCTGGCGTGTCGTAAGGCATGTTTTGACTCTTTTGGAAAGCATGCAGTTCACTGTAAAGAACTCCTGGGGTTCAAATACAGGCACGATATGGTTAAGGATGTTTTGTTTGACATATTTAAGCGTGTCGGGGTTTCCGCTAAGAAAGAGGCACCTGTTAATTTCTTGACTGACTCGACAGAAAGAAGGTCAACCCTCAGACCAGCTGACATTTTGATTTTTGGATGGGTTGGAGGGAAAAACGCATGCGTGGACCTTACAGGGGTATCCCCTCTCGTGGGCTGGGGGTTTCACGGCGGGACAGGCTGCTTTAAAAGCAGCTACAGGCAAAGTCACCAAACATGAGAAATCGTGCATGGAAAATCAACACGTATTCATACCATTTGCATTTGATATGTTTGGTTTCCTCGCGCCGGATGCGGTAGAGCTTCTTAATAGAGTACAACGGATCATGCATAGTAATGTTATATCCCCTAGATCCTCGGATGTAGTCTTTAAAAGAATTAACTTTACCATATAAAAAGGCTTAGCGGCGCAACTTGTTGCCCGTTTGTCATCTCACTCATTGTACGATGATAATTAAATTGCTTTATGAAAATTATATTTAGACAAAAAAAAATTTGCACTGATTGATTTGTGATTTTGATTTAGGTTTGACTAAATTTATGTGTTTGGTTTCTATGTTTGACTTATGGTTTTGATTTCAGAGTTTGATTGATTTTGATTACCAAGTTGTGGATTCGATTGTGTGATTTCTGGGTTGGATTCCAATTAACGATCAATCAGTGGTGTTTTTTATGTTAATTGATTATATGATTTTTGGTTTCATTCCAATTACCGATCAATGGGGTTTTTCTTTCCGATAACAAAAGTTAGTGAGTGTTAGTAGATTACTGAGGTGAGAGGAACAAGACGAAAAGGAAGGTGGTAAAGGGGGAAGGGATTAAGGGGTGGTAATTTTATCTAATAATTATTTTAGTATATTAACGATTAAGAAATATAAAAAAAACTAAAAAAGAAAATAAATAAGGGTAATCTGCATGCTTTGTCTCTAACTTGTTTTTTTAACTTGGATCGTCCATAAAGTTTGATCTTGTTGCGTTGTTGGTCCCTGAAAGACTTAAAATGACCAATATATCCTTATCTATTATTTTCATTGTTTTATTTATTATTAACTTATTAAAAAATTATAAAATAAATTATTTAATGTGGGTCCCACCCCTAATCATTGTCGTTCATTTTCCTCCCCTCCTGTTGACAAACCCGATAATTCCTCACCTCTTCACCTCCGATATAACCACCAGAAACCAAACCAAATTAAATGAAACCAAAAACAAATCCCTTAAATTAAAACCAAAGTGAACAATACGTAAACCTAAAAACCCATTTTTATTCATTATCGACTCTGATGAAATTAATATAGGCATTTGTGCACTTCGATTTCACCAACCCTCTAAATCAACCACCACATATTCCATGGTCGATCTCCTCTATATGTGTAGAGAGTTACCAAAAAGAAAAAAAAATGTTTGCTATTAGGTTTAATGATTTTCCCGATGAGTTTATTGTACTCTCTCTCTCTCTCTCTCCCTCTCTCTCTCTCTCTCTCTTCTTCTTCTTCTTCGGTGAGATACCAACAAAGAAATGTATTAATAAACATGTAAAAATAGGTAAAGAAAGAGACCAATGGAACCTACAACTCTAAACTACCGGGTTCCAACATCAAAATCAAGTATGAAAACGTTTTGTTTTTTCATTTTGCTAGGGTTTGTTAGCTGAGGGCTTCCAGTGAGAAATTGAAAGCAATTAAAACTGAAACCCCAGCATTCATCCAGCAAAATCAAACCTGGAAGTTGTCGGCGAGAAGAAAGGGATTAAAGGTTGCGGGATTTCATAATATTAATAGGTTTCCGACAAGACGATGGATTCAGATGAAGATTATAGACGATAGATGGTGGATGTGTCATATAAGGTGGGGTGTGTGGTGGGCGGTGAAGGGGCAACACATGCATTTTGGTGATGGAAATAAAGAGAACATGAAAGAAAGGGAGTTGTCGTCGGAGCTACTACCGGAGAAGAAGAAGAAGGAGAGAGGTGCACGAAGGACTAAGCACGATGTGTGGTTGAGACTTCAAACCGACCTCCAGTTATTTTCATTTACAAGGGTTAGGGGTGGGACCCACATTAAATAATTTCTTTTACAATTTCTATTAATAAGTTATTAATAAATAAAACAATTAAAATAATAGATAATTGTATATCGGTCATTTTAAGCCGTTCAGGGACCAACAATGCAACAAGATCAAACCTTAGGGATGGTCCGCGTTAAAAAAATAAGTTAGGGACCAAGCATGCAAATTAACCCAAACCATAGGGACCATGTGTATAATTTACTCTAGTCTTTTTAACAAAACCAAACTATAGGGACCGTCCGATTTAAAAAAGAAAAAAATAAGTTAGAAACCAAGCGCGCAAATTACAACGCAAATTACCCTAAACTATAGATACCATTCATGTAATTTACTCAAGGTTTTAAAAAGCTCGTCATGACTTCGTTATGACGCGTCATGGCTCCAAAGCTTGTCATTGCCGCCAAACATTAACAAAATTTCGTCTTAAGTCATATATTTGTATAAAAATAAATAATATATATATATATATATATATATATATATATTAATTATATATATATTAATTATATACAAAATTGCCGTCTTAAGTCACGCCTTACAAACTACGTGACTCGCCACGGTTCGGAAAAGCTTAAGGCTTGACATTGCCGCCAAGACACACCTTACGTTATTTAAAATATTGAATTTACTTTACATAAAACTATTGTTTATAAATTAGAATAAACTAGATATAAATTCTAAACAACAAATCTATATGAACAGAAATATCGAAAAGGCAACGGCAACGGATGACCAACGATGTACTTTCCGGCTGCCGCATTCAAACCAACTTGCCAACGGTTTCAAATAGAAGTCCTAGAAATCAATAGTTTGCCAAACTTTTGGAAAAAAGTCAAATCAATATAGAGAGTCAAAAGTCAAAACCCATTCCTAGAAGGGAAAGGGGTAAACATGGCATAACTCACAACACACCTCATCATATATTACACGTCATCATATTAGTAATTTGAAAACAACACATAATTCCAATAAAAGACGTTTATAATATAATTAACTTTTTCAAAAGTTAGTGAGACCATCAAGAAATTTAGTACGAAAGTACAAAAAGGTAGATGCTAGAGATTTAAATTATATTTAATTGTATTAATTAATACTACTTATTGTTGGAAAGTGTTAACTATATTCCTTTTTATATCCCGTATCTTTTTAATAACTTTATTGATTTGTGTATTGGTAATTATTTAACATAAACATAAGTAAAACATTTACAAAAAAAATATTTAATATTAAAAGAACATATGTTAGTATTCAAAATTCTATTTCTTTGAAAAGAGAAAGTAACGTATTTTAAAAGACTTTACGCATCTAGAAATGTTGTGAAGAAGAAGTTCAATCCAAGTTACGACACGCGGATTCTGAACACCTACAATGTTCTATAAATGGCTGTTTACTTTTCTCTTTTCACTTCGACTGTTTCAATTTTATCTTTCTACCTATAAACACTATCAATCATTAAATCTTTCTTGAAATTCGATCATTCAAGGTATCCAGACGTCATTTCTTGATTTCGACGACTTAACATGGCAAAGGAGAAGACGCGTGTTCCATTGTTACCGGAGGATAACTCTTCCCACCGGCGAACAAAGCTCGGAGTGCTTTTCCACAGCTCTGAACCTAACATTATACACACCGCCGGTGATGAACAACAAGAGGCCAGTACCAGTAGCAGTTCACACCACCACCATAGCAACGTTTCGTTTCCAGTTAGTCCATCGGCTTTGTCTCCGAATACTTCTCCTGCTAATTATTTCATGTCGCCGTTCCACCAGACCTCGCCGTTTTCAAAATCGCCATGGAACCTTCCGTTTATGAATGCTCCTGGCGACACTCAGTTAACGGGGTTGGTTGGGTCTTTGGTACGTGAAGAGGGGCATGTTTATTCGTTAGCTTCGTCTGGAGATTTGTTGTATACGGGTTCGGATTCGAAAAATATCCGGGTTTGGAGGAACTTAACGGAATTTTCTGGATTCAAATCCAGCAGTGGATTGGTGAAATCCATTGTTGTCTCCCGCGATAGGATTTTTACAGGTCATCAAGATGGTAAAATTCGAGTATGGAAGTATTCAGATTCGAAGAGGAAGGCGCACAAACGGGTCGGGAGTTTACCAACTACAATGGATTTCATCAAAAGCTCCTTGAATCCCGGTAACTATGTCGAAGTCCGGCGTCACCGGAATGTTCCATGGATCAAGCATTTCGATGCTGTTGCTTGCCTGAGTTTGGATGAGGAACACGGGTTACTATATTCAGGTTCTTGGGATAAAACGTTTAAAGTATGGAGACTTTCAGATTCAAAATGTTTGGAATCGGTAAAAGCCCATAACGACGCCATTAACTCGGTGGTTGCCGGTTTCGACGGCCTGGTTTTCACCGGATCAGCAGATGGGTCCGTGAAGGTATGGAGGAGGGAGTTGGTAGGTAAGGATACAAAGCATATGTTGGTTTACACGTTACTAGACCAAGAAACCGCCGTGACATCGGTGGCGGTGAACATGGTGGAAGCCGTGGTGTACGCCGGAACTTCAGATGGGTTGGTGAATTTCTGGGAACGTAGAAAGCACGCGTTGGTACACGGCGGAGTTATCAGAGGACACAGGCAAGCAGTTCTTTGTCTCGCCGGCGCAGGAAGCTTGCTGTTTAGTGGGTCGGCGGACAAGAGCATCTGCGTCTGGCGGAGGGAGGTCGGTGGTTTCCACTCCTGCCTCTCCGTCCTAACCGGCCACAGTGGTCCCGTCAAATGTTTAGCGGTTCAGGAGCACCCAGAAAACGATGATGGAGGTGTCCGAGAATGGATGGTGTATAGCGGTAGTTTAGATAAGTCAGTGAAGCTATGGCGGGTGGCGGAGAAGCCATGGAAGTAGACGCGCCGCCGCCTGGTTGCGGAGATGGGTATGTGGGGTCACTCGAGAAGCGAAGGATGAATATTGACTAAAATAATTGAAGACGAAAAGGCATGTGGTCCCGTTTGGTGATAAAGATGGAAAGATTGATGACCGTCTTTTCATAAAGAGTCCAGATTTTTGGGAATGAATGGAGGGTATGAATTTGAATTTAAGTTATATGTATTGGTGTATATGTGTGACGTATTGATTTGTATAGATGTACACGTTGGCATATAGTATTTGGCAAGACAATGTTGTGGCTTGATGCAAATTCTTTTATAGAAATCCTGATATGTCAAGATAACATTTTCAGGTTAATGTACAATCTCTATGTTTAACATAACAGATTATACTTTTTGTCTAACAGATTACATTTTCTCCAACATGGAAATATGTAAATAGATGTATAAAGTGTTTTTTTACTTTCTTATTTTATTTTAATTTAGAACAATGTTTCCCTATGGTACATAGTATTTTATTTAGACAAAGTTACAAAAATATCCCTATTATGTATTTTTTTGGTGTTTTAGTCCATATCACAATTTTTTGGCTTTCTAGTCCTTTTGGACTAGTTTGTATGTATATTATATTTAAAAAGAATTAAAACTTTATTTATGAATTAATAGAATATAGTCAATATACGGCGTTGAAAACCTCTTTTTTCCAAATGTGTTGCTTATTAAGTTATTAGGTTAGATTGAATTTGGTTGTTCATTTCATTCTACTCAATGTAAAATGATAATTATTAATTAACTTAGAGACATGTAAAATTCGTATAAGTTTAATATGTGAAAAGTTATCAGAAAATGATTTGTCGACTCTTTGACATGTAATTGTAACACCACATTTTCGCATTCCAATAGAATACAAGATAAACCGCCGATTATAAAATTTAAAGTAGATATATTTTAATTTTTAGCCAAATTAATCGTCATAAACATGTAATAAAGGTCAATACGATTTCCATGTGTGTGTGTGTGTCTATATATATATATATATATATATATATATATATATATATATATATATATATATATATATATATATATATATATATAGAGCTAGGTTCAAATGTTTTAACTAAGTATTGTGTTATTGTATGAATAAGTGTAAGCCAATCATTTTAAAAGGATAAATATGTAATCTTACCTTTAATTAATTATGGTAAATATATAAATCAATTAATATCCCTTTAATTTAGGAATATCAATATTAAAACCTAATTTCATACAAATCTTTCATCCTCGAGACCAATGAGATCTATTAGTTTTCCATCGGCACCGATGTTCAGAAAATTTCCACTTTCCGAAGACGATGACCATCCAACGAGCATGACAGCGAACAGATATGGCGAGATATCTAGGGTTTGTAGAGGTGGCCACGACGAAGGGGTCCAGGTTCGAACGACGCAAGGGTTTTAGGAACGTCCCTCTCTCTCAGTTCAGCGCCCTTAACCATCCTCTTCATCAAGTTACAAATCTGAAAACCGACGACGACACTGATCTGGATTTTGTTCAAAGATGAAGGAAGGCAGAAATAGGGTTTTTTTCGGTGACGACGACTAATGTAGGATCCATCTTCCACAATTGGATTTCTTGCTTCAGGCTTGTGTCAGAGATCGTCGCTTGTTGGAAAACCTAGTCGACGACATGCTACTTCTTTCACCATCGATTGTGCCTCCAACACTGCACTACTGTTGTTGCATCCATCACAGGAAAGAATCGACACAAGAAAGAATCGACATTAGCAATATTCATTTTGGGTAATTTTCTTTGTTCAATGAAATGGTATTTTGATTTAATCGATTATTTGCACTTCATTTTGGGTAATCGACTTTGTGAACTCTATTTCTGAAACCGCTTATTACAATCTGTTTGAACCGATTTCTTTGCAAATTATTTGAATTGATTTTGATTTTGCAATAAAGTTTTTTTTTCTTTTTTGACTTTGATTTCTTTGCATTTTTGCAGCAATAACCCTATATCAAAACGCTTTCATATATTCTTTTTTCATGCCTTTATCTATGAACACATGACACCGTCTTCTTGGTTTATTTCTAAAACCACTATTCGCTATCGTAATTTCTTCTTTATTAAGTTAGAAGTTTTATTTTCCCTTTTCTTGATTACAAGCCACATGTACGTGGATCTATTTCTTCATTTATTTAATTTGTAGTTATAAATCATATCTCCATATGACTGGCAACAATGGTGAAGTTAATATGTTAAATGTAGTGGTTGGGTTGGGTAGGAGTGTTTTTTCGTTAATAGTATTCTATCAGAAAAGATTGTTTTTTATGATAATCATGAACATATTCTGTTAGAATTCCCCGAATTAATATAATTATTGGTAAATGAATTTCAATTCTATCAAAATGGAATCACGAATTCCAATTATGTTGGAATGGAATATGGATATTTTCTCACTAATTTATTCATTGGATAAGAACGGACCACGAAATTTGAACGACGCCTCTTAGCAACATTATTCTTTTAGAATGTTTTAGTGTCTTTGTTAGATTTTGATGTTTTTTTTTTCTAGATTTGAAAGTTTTTTTAGTTTTATTCTTTAACAATAAATGTAATTCTTAACAATTGGTACATGTATTCTATAAGAATTAATGTAATTTTTGTTTTAATTCTTCAATTGATGGTTCGAGAATTTTGTTATTCTACAAGAAAAATTTTAAAGTCATGATCAAGAAATATGTTCAAGAATATTTTTATTATTTTATCGTTCAGGAATATTTTTATTTTTGAATATACTCAAACATATTCTGTCAGAATGTCCGAATTAAAAACCTTATAATTCGTAAAATCGGATTCTTAAAATTAATAGAATCTATGATCCCTTAAAATATGCAAATTTCCTTTATTAAATCTATGTTAATTGACTAAAATACCCTTCTAGTTAAATTAGATGGTATTTTTCAATTATATTTAATTCAATAATATGTATTAATCAATTTATTAAAATAAGTAAAATGATTGGTCCACATTTATCCATACAATAACACAATAATTACTTTGAATAGAATAACCTAAGCTTATATATATATATATATATATATATATATATATATATATATATATATATATATATATAACCCCCGAATCGAACTTCGTATGAAGAAGTTATGCTTCTTCGAAGTTTCGCGATTAAACCAACAAATGTATGCACGTCATAAAATATGAATTAGAGATAGATTACTTATTAGTCTAAGTAATCTAAACAAATGTCGTAGTAGTCGTAAAACCGAGAGCGTGCATATAGAGAACATCAAAATCTGACTTTGTATGATAAAATTATGATTTTTAGAAGTTTCGGTATAGCAGTGCGCGACACAGAAACCGAAATTACGATCGGTCGATTGTTAGCCGAATCAATCTAAACGAGATTGAAGATCTTGCAAATACAATTCCATCAATATAAAGACAGTCGATAACGGATGTCGTATAAAAGAGATATGAATTTTAAATAGAGTTTAGCAATCTAAGTCTTCTAAAATAATAAATTAAAAATAAAGTGAGAATTAGCCGATGGAGTCTAAACGAAAATTATAGATTTCGTCGATAGTTACACATGGATATAAAGAACGTCAAAAACGGAGCTCGTATGAAAAAGTTATAAAATTTACAAAAATCAGAAAATCGCATGCGTATGTGCGTGCAACCTTCTAGAAGACGACACATGAACCACCAGGAAAGTGACATGTGGCACCCTCCAGCACCACCCAAGTGCAAGGCGCACCTGGTATGTGTATGCGGTGCGCATCCTCGAAAGATTGCCAATAAATACCACATTAAGCCCCATTCATCCTCACACCTATCCCTCTTTCTCTCTGAAGTATATATAGATGTTATAAGCTCAAGTTTTTCTAGTTATTAGGAGCATTTAGAAAGGCTTTGAGGACCCTGAGGGTCTGGATAAATATAAGTACTCGATATCGAAGTTTCACCTGTAAAATTCCCAATTTTCGCTAAAAACTCTCTCTAAGTAGGCTACACTTATTACGCTTAAAGTGTAACTTAAATCTATATTCATAGTCATTGTTATGAATGTATAAATAAGTTTTATAAGTAATTTCAGTTATAATACTAATTGATCGAATTACGAGATAGGTGTCTAGAATGGTTATGTTGGCTTGGTTGTTAGATTTCAGAAAGGCTATATGCCAAAATGATCCTGCCTCCTAACTGTCATGCCCAACTGATCCTTATTTGATAAAACTCTTAGTATTCATTGGGATTAGTGAAAGATCTCGCTTTCAAAACCAGGTTGTCATAGGGATTAATAAGTTAAAGTATTATAGGTTAATACTTTCTAGGCACGTTACCCGCTAGTTAGATCACCAGTAGGATCACCCCGATAATTGTTAATCGTTTGGGTAATTGTCCAGGTGAGTTTTTTTCACTATATTATGTGCTCCAGTATATATCCTTTGTATGTTAGGATATAGTTGCCCTATAGCATGCAATTAGGCTACTAGACTAGTTTAGTTAGTTTTATGTCATGTTGAATTGTTTGTCTGTTATATATACATGTGGATATATTATGTGGGGAATTGAGGACGGCCCAACTTTGTTCTGAAGGCCAATAGACTCGGGAGGACCGACTTTATGTTGAATGCCATGGTGCGCACCAACTTTACACTGTACGTAAAAAGGGGCGGACCAGCTTCGTGCTGAAGGCCAAGGGGACCAGATTTAAGCTGAAGGCCATTATGTGTATTTTGGGGAACTCACTAAGCTTCGTGCTTACCAATGTAACTCCCTGTTCTGAATCGTTTCCTATATGGGGGTGGTGACCCGAAGACCAAGTATCATTAGGCTTAGGGCCTTTGATGAAAGATATTTCGACCCATTTGGGTGTGGGTAATGTAATTTGGATGATCCGGGAGTTCGGTATGTGTTTTGGCACCAAGGGGTATTTCAGTAAAGTGTCAGTTTGGGCTTTTATGAATGTTGGATTTTTGTTCG